CAAATTCACCCATGTGCCAAAAAGCAGCCACTCAGTCAAGGTGAAGGACAAGGAAGGAGGGGCATCAGTCATCACTGGCTAGCCAGGCCAGGCAATCCCCAGGGCCAGCCCTGTGTGGACAAAGCAGGGCAAACCAGGAGAGCCACCAGCCTTCGGGGGCCCTGAGGGAGCTCCCAGGGAAGTGATGTTTCCTGTGCAGGCTGGGAGGCCCCAGCCTAGAGAGACTCTCCACCTTAAGGTTCGGCATTTGGAAACTAATCTAACCTCCTCATCCTGCTGAGGGTCTGGAAATAACAGGGACGTTCAAGTGCAAGCCGGACAGTTAGCCAGGAGAAGGACTGGACCATCAGAGAGCCTCTTCCCTGGGAAGCAGTCCTCCTGGGCTGTGCTCAGGAAGGAGGCCTGTGTGCCCACAGAGCCTGACGGAGGAAGTGGTGAGCCCTGCCACGCAGCTCGGAAGAGGAAGCCAGTGCAGTGGCCCTGGTCTCCCGTCCACAGGGGATGTGCTCCTTGGAGCAGGGTGCCAGTGACCATCCCTGATGAAGATGATGGCTGCTGTCTACCTGGRTCACCTTCAGGTCCACATGCTGTGGACCCTCCCCGCTCATCCCTGACCACTGCTGCCCTTCCACCATCTCTCTCCATCCTGCTCTAGACACAGAAATGTGCGGGGTCCTCCTCTCCAGGACGGTGGCTGCTCCCGGCTGTGGCTCTGCTGCTGATGGGCATGCCTGGGGGCTGGCTGTGGGTGGGGTCTTTCATACTCCCCTTTCCAGACACTGGCCTCAGCTGGCCTAAGCCCCAGATTTCCACGTCTGCTGTCCCTGGAAAGGGACCCAGCAGCTCTGAGGTTGACGGAATTACATTTCCACCAGCTGTTTCCTTCCCACGTGATTTAAGTGCAGTGTTGTTACTTGTTCTAATCAATAAGTGAACTGGAAGGAGGCTTCAGAACCTTCTGGCTCCACCAGGTAGTATCTCGGCAAGGTCAGCAATTTCGATGTCCTTGTTTAAGACGTGGCAGGACAGGGTGAGGGTGACGTTCTCCAGCAGACCCCGAGACGCACTCTCTTGCTGACCCTTCCATCACACCGTTGTTTACAGTTCAGGCTGTAAACGGCAAAGTGCCTGAAGGTGGAAGGCACCGGTGTGGGCACAGGTGGACGTGTGACCCACACAGCACGCTGCCAGAACACAATGGCCCCCGTGTCAGTGGAGGCTTGAGGGGCCACCTGGCCCAGGTGGGGCCTGTCAGGGCTGCACTTCCCCTCCATGAGTGACAGCCAGGATGTGAGCGCTGCAGGTGCTGGCAGCAGGTGGCTAGGGGTGCAGCCCTTGCTCGGGTCCCCAAAGTGGAGCTTTGAAGGGCTGCTCTGACGAGGGCCAGGGAGATGGCTGCCCCATCATCTGCCTTTCAGAATGCTCAGGGACCCCCCTGGAGGCACAAGTAGCCAGGCAGTCTTCTAGGACTCGGTGGGAAATCAACTCAACCTGAAAGGCCTTTCCCGTGACTCGGGCAGGCCTTGTTGGGGGGCGCTTCTGAAACGAGGTGTTCTGTGCAGACGCACACGCGGGGGTGTGGGTCCTACCCTCGGCTCAGTGCGGGAGTCACCAGGCTCACTTGCAGCCAGAGGGCGGGAAGCAAGGCTCTGCTGCTCTGTGCCCCCGGTTTCACAGTTGCAAGCCAACAGCTGTGGTGAAGGGGTCAGGACAGCGTTGAGCATCCCATTTAAAGGGAACACCCGCACCTTAAAGTCATAACTCAGAACTGGGCTGTTGACAGCTGCCTGTGAGAAAGCCCGGGGCACTTGCTGGGTCCACCATGCCATGGCCCTGCTCTGGATGCCTGGGCCCGGCTCCTGCAACAGGACACCAGGACTTCCTCAGGAGCCATCCCCCTCTCTCAGGAGCAGCCCACTATCCGACTTGGAACGAGGCCATGGCCCACTGCAGACTCCTGGTCAGGAAGGGTGGTCTGTCGTCCTTAACATACAAACAACCCAAGAGTTGGCCTGCAACTAATTAAACTTCAGAAATTCTCCAAAAATAATGACCTGAACTAAATAAAATGTCCACTATTGGATAACTTTTGATCACAAAACAACAATTTTATGTGGTTCAACTTTCTATTTTTGTGGCTAGCCTTAAAAACAAATCAAGAGCAGCACATCCACATCTTGGAAGGACCCTGGGAAGGGGAGGAGGCCCTGAGGCCAGGGAGAGCACCACAGCAGCACAGGTGTGTGGGTACCCAGAAGAATGTGAGCCTGGCATGGAGCAGTGGCAGACCTACAAGCCAGGGCATTAGCAAAAAAGGCAAGTGTGCTGGCACTCAGGGCCGGCTCCTTACAAACCGCTTTTTGAAAGGGATAGAACTGGCCTAAATGTAAGCTATGACTGAAAAGAAAAAAAAAAAAAAAACCACAACACAAAATATGTTAGACACATTCAAAACAGGCACAGGGAATGGAACAGTCCCGAAGACATTTCTCAGATAAAAAGGAACCCATTCCTTGTAGTCTGCAAAGAGGATCAATTTCCGTGAACCCACAGCTTCCAGGGGATGCTGAGGTACCCCTGTCCCAAGACTTTCCCTCCTTCACTAGCGTTAGCAGACGCAAGCTGCTGTGGAGCACCCTGCGCTGAGGCCGGGCAGCTGGGGGTGGGGGTCTGCCCGGCAGTTCTGTGCCAGCAGTCCGATGCTGCCACCACCACCAACCACCAGCTCCACTGTTTGAAACTGGAAAATGTGCATACCTGGGCCCTGTGCAGGAGGAAGCGACTGCACTAAATCAAAAGAATGAAATAAAAAAAGAAAAAAAAACAMCCCAGGTTTCACATGCAGAAATATGCCAAGTCCCAGCCTCCGCAGCAACCACTGTTGAGGGGACCTGGAGCAGGGGACCCCGTTAGGGAGGTGAACATGCTGGTCTGCACTGCCTTCCAAGTCCCCAGGCACTGAGAGAAAGAAGGGTACCGAGACTCTGCTGACCACAACACTGAGGTGCCAGCCCGCACTGCAGGGCTGGGGTAGCAGATGGCTTCATCCTCTCCAAGGCTACTACAGGACTCTGTGGTCACCAAGACCCACCACGAGCTGCTGCATAGGACACAGCCAGTGTGGGGGCCTGGGGTGGACTCCAGAGCCAGGCAGGAGGGGCAGGCATGGCCTCCTGGAGCTGTGTGTGAGGMGTCCCAGAGGCAGGTCCCCAGATCTGGGGCCAGCTAACACGGCAGTGGGGCCTCCGAGTGGGTGAGAAGGCTGAGGCAGGTGGGGGACCTCTGATTATTCCAATATCACTCCTCTGCCAGTCACCTCTGGCCTGGATCATTGTCAGTGGCTCATTGGGCTCCTTCTCCAGGTCGGGCATGGCCCTACTCTCTGGACGCTGGTGGGACAAGGCCAGTATCACTGTCTGGCTCATGAAAAACTAATGAGTTCTCGAAACTTTAGCCTCGACATTTCTAAGTTACACAACAGAGCTTAGGTGAGGTTTAGGGTTTTACGTGCTTGTCCCCTTGTGAGATTAGACAGACACTTTCTCACCTGCTTTATAAGACAAGTCTCTGTTTCAAGACCTCAGACCTCAGCTGTCTCGTGGGTAGACTGAGGGAAGGAAAGTTCCCCGACTAGCTCTGTGGCTCTCCTGTGGTGACAGTGYGCCTGAGTGCCTTGCTCTGAGGCCCCCACGTCCTCCCCTAGGAGACAAACCCATCTCTCACTTCCTTGCACTATAGTAACATCCCTAGCCCACCCCGGTGGTTGGAGGTGCTCAACAGGTTGGGTCACCCACACGATCACTGCAGCCCACGGCTCACGGAGCTGGACGGGAGGTGGGGCAGAGCAGGCAGGACGTGGAAGGGGGCCGGGAAGCACCGTTCCCTCAGCACCTCACGGGGGGATGGTGGAGGGCTTTGGATGTGCACCGTGTCCTTCTGAGCCTCCCCCCCATCCCAGAGACCTGCGTTTAGAAATTCGGGAGCTCTGAGAAAAACCTGGAGGTAGTTCTGCAGGATATGGACAATGAGGAACCCGAGCATTCCAGATGCAGCTACCGTTCATCTTGTACAAAACACGCTGGCATCTTTGTCCATTCCCTTGCCTGACCACATCACTGAACCTGGGATCAGGCCAAACTCAGGAGCTTCTCCTACACCAGGTTCCCTAGAAGTAACACCAATTTCAAGTCCATTGGTGCTGAAAAATCAGACAGCAATTAGAATACCTTTAATTGTACTTAGAACCACTTTGAAATTCAAGATTGCTTTAAAATCACCATATCTAAAATCTCAGGGTAGTTTATCTCCTTAAGGATGTGTGTATATCTACACACAGACATCTGAGCAGACATTCATTTACACTGCGATGATTATTTATAAAAATCATTATCCAAAATAAATTTTTGGTATGTGTCTAGAATGTTAGCTGCTATAATTAACTTCTGTGCTGAGTAGACCAATAAAAGCTTTAAAAAAAACGACTGGCAAGACATTTTTAGGCCACTGAAGACACTGAAGTGTCTTTATAAAGCACACTGCACTGAAGCGTCAAGTTCTCAATTCACGCTTAAGAACCCGTCGAATGTACTAAGTTTAAGGAATTAAAGTTTATCTGAGAAGACACAATGCAGCTGCACTCTCTGATGTAGCTGTCACTGAGTTTGTGAAAGTGGCTAATTGCCCACGTATGAGTCTCATTTTCAGGCTGTTGGCAGGCAAAGAGTTTAAGTTAACAATAAGCTTATTGAAAACTTTACTGCCATTCAGATGTGTTCCTGTTTAAACCTTTCAGCCGGCGAGAGTTGATCTGCATGCATCATTTTCATGGCTCTTGCCAAGAATTATGTGACCACGTGCCAAAACTAACACAGCCACTTGGAATGGGTGGAGACCACAAGCTCTTGTCCTGCAGCCTGGCCATATGCCACCTGGGCGGAGATAACGTGAAAACAGCGAGTTGGTGTGGTCAGCAAGCTGTGATGTCAGGCGCAGGTACCAACCTTTCTGGAACACGGGATGGTGCAGAGCAGGCAGAGGGAGCCCTTCGATGGCTGAGGGCTTGTGGAAATAGGCGTCAAGCCAGGCTGCGCATCGCATCAGGGGCTCCGATGTTCCCTCTGGACCGCTGACAACCTCAGGAGCTGCTGGGGCCTCCGCAGGGCTGCAAAAGGGACCACAGGGGCTTAGTCAACTTCTGGGCCCTGCCTCCACACATGGGAAGAGTGAATGGCCGCCGTATCTAGCTGGAGGAACGTCTGTGTCCCACCAGCTGCCCAGCAGGAGCCGAGCAGGAAGACGCTGGGTCACCCCCCACACCCCGCCACCTCCTGGCTTAGGACACTGAGGGCCCATGTGTGRGCTCCAAAGGTCTATGGGCACCAGGCACAGATACACCAGAGCAGGAGCCATGTGCACCAGTCACGGGGCGAGAGTGTGCTCTTTCTAAGGCAACAGCCACAAAAGTATCAAGTAGCCATCATCAAACATTCTCTAGAACCAGCAACATCAGCTATAGCACACATGTCCCCCAACCTACTCTGGACCCCAACAGCAGGAGGATGCCCCATCTGGGGCTATTTTGACTCATGTGCCCACTCCATTTGGCATTCCCAGGCTCCAGAGCACTGATCCTCAGGGGAGTTGCTGGTGGGCCTGGCGCTTCGATGACAGCACTGTGGCTTCTACACCCAGGGCGTCTCCTGGTTCCTTCTCAAGTCTTCCGGCTCATTCTTCCTGGTCACCATCTCCCTGCCCTTTGATGTCCTGAATTTGAACCCCAAACATTTTGGGGTTAATCAGACTGCTCCCTGGCTGTGTCTGCATGGACACTCCTCCTCTGCCTCTTGGTCTGGCCCCTCACAGAACCCACTGCTCATCTTCCACCTGTTGGCAGGTGGTTTTCTTTCYGATCCTGGGCCCTGGAGCTGTAGGTAGATCCGGTTTTATTTCAGTTGCTCAGGACCCACCCCATGAAGCAGTGGCACTGGGCCTGATGTCTTGGATGACTTTCCGCCTGTCCAGCCTTGGACAGGCGCAAGCTTCCAGACCCTTCCCAGGCCTGGCGGGCACAGCTTTTCTACTCTCCTCTGCAGGTAGCACAGCTTCTGAGGCTCTTGTGGGAAGCGGGACAGAGCTTCCTTGACGTCCCTGCGGGATGCTTCCCGGCATCCTTCCCGAGCTCCTGCGGCACCCTGGGTCCTGAGAGGCCTGGAGTGTGAGCTTCCATCATCAGACCATCTTGTCTTCTCTCCATCCTCTGAGCATCCCCGTGAAGCAGGGGGCCTCCGTTCACTGGAAACATGGCCCAGCACAGGCATGGCAGGTGGGGCTGAAGTGCCTGGGAGCACAGGTCTGGCTGTGTCTGCCCGAGTTGGGATGGCAGAGGAGATGGATGGAGAAGAGGAACCAGGAGGCCACCCTGGGGGGCAAAAGTCTCAACAAAGAGGAGAAAGGGCTTGTGCATGGCTGATCTCAGGGWGTGGGCAGGAGGATAATGAGTCATGGAAAGGTGGACACAAATTTTGTATGCCAGTCACTGTTGAGGGCCACAGCCTAGTCGGGATGACACATGGCATTTTTGACAGAAGGAGTGGTTGAGAGGTGACACCAGCAAGCCATTGAGATGATGATGGTTATGTTAAGCTGTGTATTCAATTGTATATTAGACCCCTGCTGTCCACCTGCTACTTTGGAGTTCTCGCAGGGATTCCTGGGGAGTTTGAGTTGGTTGGGGAAGTGCAGGAGGAGGGATTTCCAGTTGGTGTGTGGTGTGTCCTAGGAGAAGGCCATGTAYGTGGCATGGTGTTCTCATGGCGTTCTCGGGAGTGTGGAGAATAAAGGAGTTCCTGGTTTGAACCTACAAGGTTATGTGGCGGCTCGGTTATTTTGTGCCCAGCCAGACTGCGGCATTTGGTGGCCCATGCGGGGAACGCCTGAAGCTCAGAGGTAAGTAAAATTGCTTGCCTCTAAGGGAAGGYGAGAGAATGGGTGACCATTTCAAAAAAACAATGTGTTCTTGTTTTGATTTGTTTTTGTTTCAAGCTGCCTATCCCTAGAACTTTCTCAGGCAAACTGGGAAAAATGGTTGGCTCAAGGTTTGAAGTTGTTCTGCCCTGAGGAAGAGACAGAGACCACGAATATACATTTCAAAAAAATAGGAAAATTGATACGATTTTTTGTTCCGTTTTGCTTCGGTTTTGTTTTATCTGTTTGAGTTGCGTTATCCTTGTAGCAGAAATATGGGGTCCCTAAACAGGGGAATGTACTTGCCAGAGGCCAAGAGGCCCTAGCTGCTCCAGCAGGGCTACAGCAGTAAGAATGAGGCTGACCCAGAGCTCTGGAAGAGGCTGTGGTGGAGGGGCTGGTAACCCAGCTGCCACGTGGGCGCTGCCTGGATGGGGCTCATCTTCAATGCCGGCGTCTAGACCACAGCCCAGGCTGCCAGGGACCAGCAGCTCCCTTGTGCTCAGGCAGGTGGGAGGCCAGATTGGAGAATTTGCAGAACGTCTTGGAGCACTGCCTCACGCTGCCAGCTCCGGTGGCTTCCGCATGGTTAGTCCCTGGGGGAACCAGACTTGTGCAAATCTGTAGTCAAGGGTACACCGTGAGGCAAGGGGCAGCCACCGACTTCCCTCTGGTTACAAAGGCTGACGACCTCACAGCTGCAGCAGAGGCAGAGGAGGGGGGGTGGTGTGCGCACGCATGCGCTCTCCCATGGGATCCTTTGTTGGTGAAGGCAGGCTGGGCAGGCTGATGGATGACACACCAATGGAAGCCACTTCTGCGTTCCTCCTGGGACATTCATACCTTCGATACAGGACCATCAAAGGGGCCAACCTGGGCCTAAGGACAACCCAGGGTTTCCATGGCTATGCTGTACTCCYACAGGGTGCCTGTGTGGCCAAGTTCAGGGGCACTGTGGGAAGYGGAGTCTGTCCCCATTGGGGGGTGAGCCCCTGCAGAGCTGTGCCAGCTCCTGCTACTGGAGGAGGGGAACCCTGTGGGGTTCCTTGCTCTGCTGGCACTGTCGGCCTGGGTCCTGCAGGGCCATGGCGGGAGACAGCAGGCCATGCTGGAGTCTGGGACGGGGCCCTTGTGGTATTTAACATCTCCAAGGCCTTGAGATGAATTGCACTGACGGGGGGATGCACAGGGTCCACACTGCTCCTGGAGAGGCTGTCTAAGCATGAGACACTGGCAGGTCAGGAAGGAGCCGAGGCCACGCAGGGACAGACCACGGGGACACGCGTCAGGACTGAGACTCTAGCCCCGCAGAGCAGCTGATCCTGTTGACACACCACCACGTGGAACAGATCCAGACTACTCAGGGCCCTCGTTCAGCCTGGGGCCTGAACACACAGGCTGCTCTCTTGGCCTGAATGGCCGCCTGGGAACCCTCCGCAGGCCCAGGCACCAAGAGGCCCCGGGGGAGGCAGGGCTCTCTCCGCAGGCAGAGAACAGGCCTCTCAGAGGGCTCCTGGAGGGAGGCACCATCCTCACTGCCCCTTTCTTTCCCTACTAGCCACGTCTGCCCTGTGCTGGGCTGAATTATTATTCAATCTTAGAATATTCTTGCTCTGTTTCTCACTGACCAAATAAGCCGTGCCCTGAAGAGGGCTAACAGGAAGGATGGAGAACCATGAGATGTGCTCTGCCATCCCGAGGCCCAGGGACAGCTCTAAACCCAGGGAGCAGGACGGTGTTCACGGGGGCCCGCCGGAGCTCCGTCCAGAGCCGAGAGCCGATAGCCAGCGGTCGCCTTGGAGTTGATGCCACCTGCTCAGACAGGAAGTGATGCCCTTGTGCAGCAACGCTCAACTGCGGGCACCAGAGGCACAGGCCCGCCACAACGCCCTGTGCCAAACCACCTGGACCTGGCACCTCTTCCGCAAGAGCTCCAGGTTGGTCTTTGGGACTATGGGGTCTGCTTGGCCCTCACAGGGGCGGCTCGGAGAAGCCAGCATCCCCCTCGGGGTGAGGGGGCAGGGGCTTCTGCCCCCCAAGCACTTGGCACACCTCCAGAGGTACCACTCCTTCAGCACAGGTGCCCTGGGCACCCAGCACRAATCGCCTCCTGGGCCTGCCTACGYGGGGCGCCTTCCTCTGCCTCGACCAGGGAACTGAAGTGGAGCTGGGCTTCCAGCATTTCCCGCTCTTAAAAGGATATGTGAAGAATTTTTATAGTAGTAAAATTCATCTTAAATTGATTTTTTATGCTTGTGCTAAAGATCTCACCTCTGATTTACTCTGTAGTTCTCCTTTTTAACTCTTTCTCTATTGGCATTAGATAACTAGTCATGGGTGAAATGTAATTAAACAGCTTTGATTCTGAAGCAAGGATTTATGAGACTACATTTAAAATGAATGGCATTAAACACACACATAAAACCAGATTTTTAAAGCCAGGACACAAATTTCCATTTCTATAATAAAACGAAATTTATTCGCCTGCCCTGCCCTCTCCTCCAACCTCGCCTGGCTGGTCCCAGGAAGAACTGCAGTGTGACAGTTCTGCTGGCCGCCGCTCTTATGATGGAGGAGTTTCTCTAGCCTTCCCCCTGCCCCGGCGAACCCTGAAATGGCAATAACGGCAGGCTCCCCGGCCGCGCTCTACGTCAAGTCTTCCTGGCACCTCACCTGGCACTGAGAAGCAAGCGGCTGGGGCCAGGCCACGCCTCCGGCAGAGCACTGTGGCAGCCCAAGACACCCCCGCRGATACTGGGTCAGGACCCAGCTGGGACACCAGCGTCGCAGGAGAGACTCTCCCCATATGAGCATAGCAGTTGCATCTCCCTGGGCCTCTTCCAGGGTCGCCCGTCACCCACAGAATAATCCTGAAGCCAAGATCAGGGCACTGGGACCCTTTTGCTTTCAACCAGCTGGTAGATTCCTTGGGCTTCTGTTGGTAGGACGATGACAAACCAGGGACTTTCAAACAGCAAGGCTGGGGTCGCACGTATCCTGTTCCAAGGATTTCTTCAAGAAATGCCAATGGCTGTCCAGAATTCCTTATAAACAAACAGGACCACGGCACACTGTCATCTGTGGAAGCTCCTGGCATCCATTCCAGTGCAGAGCACGCCCCACATGAAGTTGTGTGGGCTGCGGCCTGCGAGAAGGCCCGGGGCCCCTGCTGGGCGCCCCGAGAGCATGTCCCAAGGT